GATGTCATTATCCAGTCCGGCGACGAGCCCCTGCTCTGCCGGGCTGACGTCGTTACATCGCCCGTCGTAGAGCCCTTGCTCCGGCCGATGTCATTATCCAGTCCGGCGACGAGCCTCTGCTCTGCCGGGCTGACTCCGTTACATCGCCCATCGTAGAGCCCTTGCTCCGGCCGATGTCATTATCCAGTCTAGCGACGAGCCCCAGCTCTGCCGGGCTGACGTCGTTACTTCACCCGCCGTTGAGCCCTTGCTCCGGCTAGACCGATGTCCACATCCAGTCCGGCGACGGGCCCCACTCTGCCTGGCTGACATCGTTACTTCGTCCGCCAATTCACTTCTACTGTCGCCAGACCTACGCTTCGCCAGGTCGGCACCTACATTTCGCCCGCTGACGAGCCCCTATTCTACCGAGCCAACGTAGTTATTACTCCCACTGCCGTCTTGCCTTCGCTCCGGCCAAATTAATATCTGTATCTCTCCCGCCGACGAGCCCTAGCTCCACCAGGCCTATTGACACTTCGCCGACGCAGCGAGTTCCTGAAGAGCAAGCCTCAACTTCGCAGACGAGCACCATGAGCCGAGCTCATAAACGCCGCACGCAACGTGCGAAACGCGAGATACGCCAAATCCCAAGTCAAACCACTCTCATATCAAGTCAACGATGTCCTCTTACACGGGGCCTGCCGACTTGAACAACTGGGCGGCACGCGCCCATCAATACCCATAAAACTTGGCATTTCTCCCTCAATGAGTGACGTTATTGTATAGATTATTCGATGAGCCAGGTCAAGAATGTAATTTACCTTTTGCTTTTAGAGGCTAAGTCGTCTTAGGCTTAGATCGAGTCGAAGCGGCATAATTAACGTAAGGACGAAGTGTTGGCTAGGATCAGTACGATGACCTAGTCGGCACTAGCCGGGCTCAACTAGGAAGCCCGGTCAGGCCAATAATACCACCGAGTCCGAACGCGAGACCGGTCAGGTAAGCTGCCACATAATTATGTGCAGGTCGGCTCAGTACGATGGCCTGGCCGGCACGAGCCGGGCTCGGCAAAGTAGCCCGGTAAGGCTCAGCAAGGCCAGACCGTCGCCCGATTCAGCGAGCAAGTCGGACAGGTAATGCGCCAAAGTAATCAATAAATACCGAGCCCGATCACGAGGCTCGACCAAGTAATAAATTCACGCAGGTCGGGTTCATTGCGATGACCCGGCCGGCACAAGACAGGCTCAATCACGTAGCCCGATCAGACCACAACCGCCAACATAAAAAATTTAATAAATAAGCGCCGAGCTCGATCATGAAGCTCGGCCAGGCCAGGCCACCACCCGACCCAATGAGCGGATCGGATGGGTAATGCGCCATCGTAATCATTAGTGCAATAAATTGCACAAACCGGACTCGACAAAGGGGCCCGATTAGGCCGAAACGCCGTAAAACTAAAGGCCTACGCGCCATTAGGCCGAAACGCCGTTAAACTAAAGGCCTACGCGCCATTAGGCCGAAACGCCGTTAAACTAAAGGCCTACGCGCCATTAGGCCGAGATGCCGTAAAACTAAAGGCCTACGGGCAATTAGGCCGAAATGCCGTAAAACTAAAGACCTACAAGCCGTAAGGCCGAAGTGCCTGAAACTAAAAACCGAACTGCAAAAACAGTTCGGCCCAACTAAACATGCGACAAGATGCTCTCATTCATCATACATTCATAACATACATTCATTACATACATTCATCATACATTCACGCATCCTCATGTGATCGCATTATGCATACAGTCTCGTAAGAAATAAAGAGCTCAAAGCTCACTCAGACAAAGAGCTCCAAGCTCACTCATTTCGACAATTCAAAATGCATTCCTGCATAAAAACGGGTACCAAATTACCCAACTAGGCCGCTCAGGCCCCATCCAATAGCAAATTCGCAAAATTGCACATTCTCTCAAACTGACTCAACTCGTCAAAGATTAAAGCGTGATTATCGTAAATACGTTAGGCTAAAGCCTAAAAAGATTAACAAAACGCGCAAGGGTCCCAAAGTGCCCGAAAACAACAAAACAACGATCCGAATAACCAAAATTACTCGATAAAGATTTAATGAGTCCTCGAGACGCATAAAGTAAAAACCGACAAGATAAATGTGATCTCCTGAATCACGCGAAAATTATCCGACACGCGCACTCGTCGGCATATTTGCAATTTCACCAATATCTCTCATTACGCGTAAATCCTAATGCCATCAAAAGAGCTCGAAGCTCAAAAGATCATAAGGTGAAAACATCGCCAAATTATCAAGAATAAACGCGACTTCAGAACAGTTCAATCAGAACATGTCCTAAACTCGGGGGCCTACTGTTGATACCTAATTTGGCTCCGATTAAATAAATGATAAATAAAATAATAAAATACGGCCCGACAACCAAGGAGCCGAAAGTACGTAAAAAATAAATATACAAACAGATATTCCAAGTTGATCGTCCAAAGGCCGACCAGACCCGGTACGGAGCCGAACAGAATTCGAGGTGCCCGATCGGTACAGATATCCTAAAGAAGCTGCCTCCGAAAAGACGCCACAATAGCCAAAAAGATGAACGTCAACCGGAATCGTCAAAAGCCATAAATGGGCCCTACAATAATGTACCATTTTTTACTTATTTAATTAGCCCACTTGTAAAGAGAGGGCCATGTATATATATCGAAAAGAAAAGAGAGAAGGGGGTTTCTCCTCATATTTTTTGGTCCCCCACAATACAAGAGAGAGAGAGGAGGGGAGGTTGGATGTCTCTCTCTCCTTTTTTCACCTTCTTCCATAATAAAGAAATATCATTTTCTATCAATTTTGTCCTTCATTTTTCATTCAACAATTCGATTCGCATTTGATAGTTGATCGTCCGATTTTCGACATCAACACTACATATCAAACTTTAAGGCTCCTTGACACGAGCATAAAATGTCTACAAATTTTAAGACTCCTTGATACGAGTATAAACTATCTGTCAAATCAAATTAACACTCCTTGATACGAGTATAAACTATCTATAAATCAAATCAAATGAAGAACTCCTTGATACGAGTTTAAACTATCTGCAAATCAAGTCAAATGAAGAACTCCTTGATATGAGTTTAAATTATCTATAAACTCAAGTCGAAGAACTCCTAAATAAGAGCTTAAACTATCTGCATGTCCAAACCAAATTCAAAAATTTGAGACTCATTCACTACCAAGACATTTTGTCCGTGAACAAGTCTCAAGGAGGCATTTGTAGACATCGAAATTTTAATATTTTATTAATTAATGTCTTTATTTATCTTGGGATATAAATTCAAGATAAATAAGATATTTAATTAATAAAATAAATATTTCTTGCCCACCAAGTCAAATCTTAGGATAAGGAAGGAGATTATATCAAATCTTAGGATAAGGAAATAGATTATATCAAATCAAGAAGGACCAATCAAATTGATGTCTTCTTCTCTAAGACTCTCTCCTACACCTATAAATAGGGCTCTTCTCAAAGTCACAAATTACACCCATCACACCTGAAATACCTCAAAAAAATCCAACACCTCAAAAGTTTTATGTTTTTCATAAAATTTGTTGTTACAATGATATTGGGTCTATCACAACCCTGTGTTTTGGGGCCTGGTCGAGAGTACGTTTTTCATTGCTTTAAATATAAAAATAAACAAACAAACAAATTCCCTAAATAAATTATTAGTAAAATTAACAAATTTTACTTCATTTAGAAGTTTGACCAATCAAATTCACGGATTTTCTTGTCTGGTAACGAGTTTATAGTATTATTATTATTATTTTTTTTACCTAAAACGCTAATTCAAAAAAGTTCAATAGAACAACATTTTATGAATGCAGAATTCAAAAAAGACAATGCAACATAACATTTGTAAATTTCTACTATTTAGCATTTTATGAATGCAGAATTCAAAAAAGACAATGCAACATAACATTTGTAAATTTCTACTATTTACTACTAAACGCTTATTTGACAAATCGTTAATTTAGTCCATTATTCAAGCCAACTAATTAATACAATATTTGTTATCCGCTGGTAATAGATATCCGCAAAAGGCGATTAATTTTCAAACATGAATCAAAGAAATTATAAAGTTTGTAGGGTGGCTTTTCAGTTTATACGCATCTAATCCATATATTTTATATAGGCTGGACATGCATGGCTTTTTCTTTTGTTGGGGTTCTGAATAACCAATGGCATATTGCCGGGACATGCGGAAAATTAACTTTTGTTCTTGGGGATATTTATATATTTGGCTCCACACAAACACAATAATCCAGATTATCCATCTCAGTGTGTTTGAAAAGTATGATAATTTATTTATATCTTATTTAGTTAGCTCATAAACCTTTTTATTTGAATAAATTTTATTTGGTAGTATATAATATAATATGTATCTTTAAGTTTCATAGAAATATATAAAACATAAAAGAAAAAAATAATTTTAATATAAAAATCTGAATTTTAATAATTTTACAGAATTATATATATGCATTAACAAAATCTGAATTTCTAATTCTGTTACTATTATAATAAAAAAATCAATTATTTGATACTTACCACATGTATTTTCGATAATTCCATCCGTGTAAATCATTTAATTTGATAGTATAGCATGGCTCACTTTTTTACTAATAAGACACTTAATTTGCACTACACAAGATCTAACTATTAATATTATCAACTATATATCCCCATTCTTACTTGCACTTTGACTGATCATAACAAGAAACTTTCCACTCTCTCATCCCTTCCCCCC